CATTTTTTTTTAAAGAGTTACGGTAATAGTATTCAAACGTACCAGCTCTACCATGGTACCTTCATCTCTCAAGAATTTAATTTCAAATGTTCTATTTTGAAACTCTTTCACTTGGACTACCACTTTTGAGTTCATAAATTTGGATTTCTATCCCAAGCCAATCACCAAACAATGCATGTGTCACAAACATTTAGATTTTACTAATTACACACAGTCATATACCTAGATCCCCAAGATGTCTCAAGTCTTTTAATGCTTTTTAAAACCAAAAATTGGCAACCAATTTAGTAGTTTACACGTAGATTGGTTCTCATGTTATCCCTATGCAGTCTGCTTTCGAGTATACCTGGTCACTTTGTACCACAGAAATGACTGCAAGTTATACTGTGTTCTGTAAAGCAAATGTACGAAGTGTACAAACTCATCAAATTAACATACTATTGCTCATCATCCTCTTTGCTCCTAATGTTATAAATTAGAAGTATACAAAAGTCCAACATAAATCATGAAAAAGCTGATTAAATCCATCCACTCTTCCATTGATGTAATACAAATTACCCCCCAATCATCGTACCAATTCTCCCTCTTTGTAAGAAAATCTAATTCCCTCTTAAAAATCAATAAACTATCCTCTCAAAAACGTTGTAAATGCCTTCTCTACCTATCAGATAACTTTTCTTCGATCATCTAAAAATAAACATTGCTGTCATTTCTACAAGGAAGCAGCAGGACAAAGATGATCCAAGACTGCTTTCCAAAACCTGATGCAAGTACAGCGTTGAAAACAAATATAAGAGGGCAGTGCCCAGAGTGCCAGCAAGGACAAAAATTACCACCAGCAGCTCCCCAACATTCTGGGAATGGCCGGGTAAACCCAAGACTCAGTCACATGTTGACTGTGCAGGTCCTTTCATTGGCTCAATGTGCTTAGTCATTGTGGATGCACGCTCAAAGTGGTTGAATCTGCGCAGAGTTCATTCGTCAGACACGGGGACAATGATAAAAAATCTGCACATTTTTTTTGCAATACATGGGCTCCCAGAAATATTGATGACAGATAATGGGCCATTGTTTACCAGCATGGAATTTGAGTAGTTCCTAAAGTCAAATGGTCTTCATCACAGAAAGACAGCTCTATACCATCCATCATTCAGTGGTTTGGCATAAAGTGTGGTCCGAACTTTGAAGGCAGGCTTAAAGAAACAGCCTACAGCTTCACTAGATACCAAACCATCCTGGATCCTATTTGATTATAGGACTACACCTCATGCAACTACAGGGATGGCTCCAGCTGAGTTGCTAATGGGGAAAGACAGCATACCAGGTCAAATCTTATCTTCCCGGACCTGAGCAGGAAGGTGAAACGGCACCAGGAACACCAATGCTGGATGCACACCTCCACTAAGCAAGAGAAACAGTTTACTCCAGGCAACGAAGTGTGGTGTAGGAATCACAGAAATGACCCTACATGGGTAAGAGGCATGCTCGATGCAAGGTTAGGTACCAGTGATATATAAAGTTCAGGTAGGTGCAACAGTCCTGAATAAGCACATGGACCACACAAAAGCTGTGATCTCGCAAATGGTGCACGAATAAAACACGCTCAGCTCTTCAACTGCCTTTCCAACTGTTCCAGAATCCGCGAGTTCTCCCGCTCCATCAAGCAAAATCTGGGATCAACACAGTGAAGAGGAGAATCGGTTTCTTCTGAGACGCTCCGGGCACACGAGGCAAGCTCCTGAGAGTTACATGCTGCCTGTATCAGAGGCAGAGTTGGAGGAACCTGACGTGGTGCTAAAACGCCCCAGGAGGGGCTACAATGTGGTGTGTGTGTGCGTGCGTGTGTGTGTGTTGTAGTGACTGTAATGAGGTCAGTCAGATAGACCTCAATATATGAGATTCCTGTTTGGACCAGATTAATTGCCCCAATCAGGGACCCCTGGCTGACAGATATTAACAGGAATGGCAGAGGTTCTGTTCACTCAGAGCTGGCTCTGAGGGAGCCGGATCAGTTTCACAGACTTTCCACGTGTAAATATACGGTGATGGGATACCAGTCATTTGAGTTATCTCAATTACATTAATACAATAGATTATAACCACACATTAGAATTAGAATTAGATTTCACCATCACATGTACTCAAGTACAGGGATACAAGTGTACAGCAAAAAGTGTATAACGTTGCTATCCCTGGCACAATCTTAGGTACAATGGTATCTAGGTACAAACTCTTAGGAACAAATTCAAAAAAACATAGAAATAAGTTAAAAGTTCAACATTGCAGTTCTTCTCAAGTGTTTAGCCATGATGGCTCGCACTCCCGACAAGTGCTTGATCGCCCTATGCTCGACACTGCCACAGATGCTGGGACACCTTGGGCTGCCTGCTCTTGCCATCACAGTTACCAGGGTCCTCATGTGCCACCACTCTGGGCTTTATCCCCCCTGCATCGGGCTTGCACTCCCCACTGCTCTCTCATTGTCTCCCGTGCTAGCTCGATCTCTCCACAGAAAGTAAATGGATGCAGTGCACTTAGGATCACTTCTTACTTTCCCCTCATATTTATGTTATTATAACACTATTTATGTCTGTTGGATCACCCAAAAGTATGCCACAGCCCTTTGAAAGTACCTGGAATTCTTTTCTGTTCCAGCTATCCTCAGAAGAAAGACCAATGTTTCTATGTCTCGATTCTGGATGGCTCAGTCCTTATTCTGGCCACTTTCTCAATAATTCCAAACTAAACTGTTGGTTATATTCTTTGGCTACAAGACTGCAAGAACTGTAGATTTTTCCACTAGATCCACAAGCAACTTGCCAGCTTCTTTTCCTTCATTCAAGACAAATAATATTACATCCTATCCACATTCTATTGGGAAATAATAAAGTTAGCTTATTCTTTCCTCACAGTGCAGGCTTACCTAACTCTCGTCTACTTTGGCTACATTCTCGCAGCCAGTTGCACCACAAACAAATTGAACTGCAACAAACTCTTACCAAAACCCCAGATAAAATGAAACCATAAAATTTTCTCAAGCTTCAGCAAACACGCCAATGTGGCATGCTCTGGGATGTCCTCAAAGCAATCTTAAAATGGAGTATCCCTCATTTACAAATCCTTATTGGATCCGAAGAAGAAATGGATTTCACAACTTTCAGGTTTACCAAATACTTTTGAACTAACTTAGCTCTAACATTTCGCTGGACTGCCCTTACTGAAGGGGCAGAATGCCCCCAGTTCTTTAGCTAAGTAAGCACACCTGCTGACAGTGGTCTTAGTTTTTGAGCTGTTAGCCTGTAAGTCAACACAGCTTCTGCCTTTTAATAATGCAATAAACGCCACGTTTGTTTGAATTTCATTTACTTCAAAGTATTTTTTTTAAAAGCAGCTTCTCAATTTGCACTTTTAACAGTTAAGACTTTAATTCCTAAAACCACAAGTTATACGCTAAAACACATGAAGCCCTATTCATAACACCCAAGCACAAGGGAGCGTTAGTCATGCTTCAGGAAAACAAAGCCTGGTTAGACCATATCTGTCGTATAGTGGACAGCTATCAGAATCACAGCTTTAGAAGAATCTATTGGCTTTGGACGAATTGAACCATAGATTTACCAGAATATTAAATAGACTCCATATGTTCAATTACAAACAGCTGACACAAAATAATATTGAATTCCCTAGAAGATATATTAAAAAGATTTGATTACAATATTTAACTTATAAAGGGAAACAGTTTTGCTCTGTTCACTCTATTTTAACTGGCTGAGGATCTAGTACCAACAAAAAATGTTCTAAATATTAGAGATGGACCTTCAGGAGTTAAATTAGGAAACACAAATTTTGCACAAAGCAGAAGAAGTTTGAAACTCTCTTCCTCAAATGGCTTCGAAGGTTACATCAATTATTAATTTTACTTTTGAGACATACAGAACTTTGCTTTAAGGGAAATGGAGCAAATGTGGGTATGTGGAGTTATTTCACAGATCAATCACAATCTCACCGATCGGAAGAACAGGTTTAGGAGGCTAAATGGTCTACTCCTATTCCTTTGTACTTACTACATTTCAACACAAGCATTAAAACTGAAAGGACGCATGTCAGTTGTGAGGTCAAACTTGTTATGAAAAACTTGGGCACATCAATGTGAGGAATAACCGCAAAATCCAAATGAGACATGGTGCGAAGACAGATGTGTGGGATGTTGAGCGAGAACAAAATCAAGAAAGCGCAGAGGTCAATGGAGTAAGTAGCTCAGGAGAGATTGAAATTGCATAGTCAATAGCTGTAGTGAGACAGAGACTTTGGTAAAAGGACAACCAGAAAGAGGAAAGTCTTAGATCAGATGGAAAGATGCAGTGGTCAGACACTTAAATGCAACAGGATTAGAAGAGGAAAGGGCGATTTACAGAAGTAGAGAGGGGTAATTATTGCATACAATAGAATAACTTCATGAAGAAAAACTACACACTTATCTAAATTGCTCAGAAAACCAATTTTCAGAATCGCAAAGAATGCTTGTCTTGTATGAACGGATATCCCCACCGGCCCACCGCTTAGAAACAAAGTCGTAAACTAATTTAGTTTAACTCCCAGCGTTTTGTCCACGACATATCTTTCGTCTTGTATTAAAGAATCTTTAAATGAACAAAACTATGGAATGCTTAAGACGGATCCGATTATTTTACTGAAGTATAGGCGACTATTCGTGACAAGTCCTGACGAAGGATTTCGGCCCGAAACGTTGACCTCCCCGCTCCTCTGATGCTGTCTGACCTGCTGTGCTTTTCCAGCTCCATGTTTACTGACTCTATTCATGACAAATCAGGATTAACGATCTTACCGATAAGCCCCCAGTACCAGGACCTTCATCACGCTTAGAGATTACATGATCGCGAACCTCGCAGACTAAGTAACAGCTTGAAGCACAGGAAAAATACTCGTCTTAGTAGTTTTCAGCAGGTAAAACACTGTCATGGATGAAATACCAAACATACCCTCTTGTGCTGGGCATCTATTCTGTGCTGACCTCCCCCCAACATCGCCCTTTGAGATCTCTTCTTGATTCGCTCTTGTACGGTCAGGCTGCTGACTGAATACCATTGTTTCCGCTCCTCGATGGCTTTGAACGTCCCCAAAGCAGATGAAACGTATTTACTAGTCCGCAAGCCACCTGTCAGCAGCCGGGAGCAACACAGAACTGCCCGACCAGGCGCCATGACACAAAATACAGCCCCAGCTCCCAACAAACCAAACACCACCGAGAAAAGCGTCGCGGTGGCTGATTGGTGGGGTCAGCAACCAATGGATTTAGCGGCAGCAACGGGATCGAGAGCCCCGGCCAATCAGGTGAATACAGGCGGTCCCAATGTCTTCAGGCTCGCCGGCTGGCCTAGGGCAAAACGAATGTGCGCAGTGCGTCCTTCAGAAGGGCGCAGCGTAGCCCTCTGGGCGTTGTAGTCCAGCAGTGCACGAACTGCATTGAATGCGCAGTTCGTTTTCCCATTCAGGGAAAACTACAAGTCCCGGCATACCTCAAGAGGGGCCCAACCCATCCGCGAGAAGGACCTCAACGAGTTGCCCTCCTATTGGCTGAGCGGGGAAGGGGGGGGAGAAATTCTCCTTATAAAAGCGCAGACGCACGGCGCTTGGGAACATGTAAAAGAAAAGGCGTTGAAGCCGTGGGGAGCTTGTGTTTGAAAAAAAATAGTTTTATCTAGGATAAAGACTCGGCGAATAAAACTGAGGACAATTATTTTATACTTCAAACTGAATTAAAGGAATATGATTACTGACGAGAGCGAATCGAATTTTTTTTTGCCTCCAAACAATTGAAGCCGATCAGGCATTTGGAAAGACGCTTCGCATTACCTTCGTCTTTCTTCCAGTCACGTGACTGGGCGCCCGAGCGCTTTCCGTTTTTTTTGCCTTTTTTAAAACGAACCTCTCCACCATTTAAAACAAAATCCTTCTTTCTCCCCCTGCCGCTTTTTTTTTCTCCCCACCCTCTTCGCGATAACGCGAACCCGCCGCTGCCTCAGGCGTTTCTTAACGAATCGGGGGTTAAAAATTTAAACAGGGTGGAGGTGTTGTGGGAGGGACGGGGGGTGGTGGGTGGTGGTGGTGGTGATGATGATGGTGGGGGTAATAATAATCCGTCAGTGAGAGGGAGGAAGAGGAGAGCCGCCGGTGGTGAGGGCCCGTTGTGAGAGGGATTGAGGTTTCGTTTCGGGCGCTCTCTCGTTTTTCGCCAACCCCCCGCCCCCACCCGCAAACGCTGAATTGGACAGAAAGCGGGAAGTTCTTAAGAGGAAAAGGAAGGCGGCTGTGGAGAGAGAGAGAGTGTGTGTGTATATGGGAGAGGTAGAGGGGTAACTAAGGCGAGTTCTCGCGAATGGCGAGAGGTGCGCGGCTGGGGCCCGCTGCGCGCGCGTTAACCAGTAGGTGCCGCCGAGCCCGGAGCCCGCGCAGCGCGGATGGCGACAGGGCTCGCGGACTGTAGGCTCTCCGCCCGCCCGTCCACAGTGCCGCCGCCGTGAGTAGTACCATGGCTCCGCGAGAGGAACCGAGCCCCGGGAGACGACGACGACGACAGCAGCAGCACCAGGACGGCGACCACGACGACGGCAGCAGCAAGCAGCGGTGCTCGCCGCTGACGCCCCGCTCTTAATTTTAAATGGACGTTGGCACCGCCGCGGATACTGGGCGTCGGAGAAAGAGGAATCGGAAATATCCCCGTCGGCGGCACCACGGCCCGGCCCGCTCCGACCTCTCAGCCGCCGCCGCCATGAATCCGGTCAACGCCACTGGCCTGTACGTGACGACCTGCCGCTACATCATGCAATGCGAGCCGCAGGAGCCCGGCTCCTTCTCGGAGCTCTACAAACTGCTGCCCTACCTGCGGCAGTCCCTCTCCTGCTGTGTCTGCGGTGAGTCTGTTACAAGCAATCTCCTCTCTCCCCCTCCCTCCCTCCCTCCATACTTTGTTTTCTTTTTCTCAGGACCCTCTCCTCCTCCCCATAGAAAAATGAAGGCGAAAAGCTCCTTCTGTTGTCTCCCCCCCCCACCACCACCACCACCACAACATAGCCTGAGAATAAAGCGAGCGGTCTTGTCTTTATTTCTGTTGCAGAAAACGGGTGGTTGGAAAGCCGTACGATTATATAACGAGCACTGTTGTATTTTTAAGCCTGCTTTTCTCTCTTCACCACCCCCCCCTCCTCCTCCAGTACATGTGTAATTCTGTGTGGAGTGTTTGTGCATTGCACCAGAGGCCTGCTGTGCTCACCTACAGAACTGTGGCTGAATTCGGATTTATGAAGATCTTTTTCGATGCCTGTTCTATCAGTTCAGTTTGAATGTTGAGCGTGTGTTGTTACGTTTATTCCCCAGTGCAACTGGCGTGGTCTGTTTCTTCCCCCTCCCAAATTTGTGTTTAGATAGATCCTCGCATTGCAGCGAGAGGCCTACATCATTTTTGTAGAGGAATAAAGACTGGAGATTCGCGATTTCCCCAGCACAGTCCTGAGTTTTAACTCTTAAGCACCGAAATTTAAGTTAAGGTTCTTGTCTAATTGCACATGGAGATTTATGAATATATATTTGTCCTTCCCTGGATATTTATCTGGCAATGCAGGAAAGGCCTGCACAGTTTGTGTTGTGCCATCCATGTGTCCGTATCTATGTCGAAGGCTCTCCTTTTCATGATTAATTTAGTGGTGTTTAAAGTGACGAGTTAAAATCGAGTCGTTCTCAGCAGAAAAAAAGGTTTGCATTAATTAATTTGTTAGGTTTCCCAGTTTGCCTTGTACCAGAGGTCTGTAGTAATGTCAAAGCTGTGGAGCTCAGTTGAATTTAAATTTTTCGTGCATACCTCGACCATATTAAAACCTGCCTTTTTAAAACCAGAGTGGCTAGAAGGCTTCAGTACGGCTAAAATACAGTACTGATTCATTGTTTTTCGTTGCAACAGGTCTGTGCTTTTTATTATATCGATCACACAAAATTTGTAATTTTTCTTCAAGTCTGTAAGTACAAAGATGACAACCTTATTTGAATGTCCATTTTGCTCCGAACACACAAGGCATTTCTAGTTATTTTTTGTTCAATTTTCTGTAATGGAGAAATATATTTGTATTCTTGTAATGTGCAATACTCTGGTTTGAAAATAAAAGTAACCACGTGTTCGGGGATATCATTACAATACTTTTAGACGATTTTAATTTGTGATCCACTAACTTTCATGTGGAACTGCATTTTTAAGTTACATTCATCCGCAAGTAGTGACATTCTAAAGAGAGGAAAAAGAACATTTTCTTTGCATTTCAGCAACTATTCTTTGTATAAATTTGAATGGCAATCTTGGTTGCTTCAAATCCCCGCCAATTACGCCGAGTGCAAATCCCTCTTTATAATCTACTTATAAATTGGAGAATCTTTTTGAACCAAGTAGCTGTCAGATGTTAGCCAAATGTAGGTATATTTTGAGCTTGATTATTTAAATTTGCAACTTTTTTGCTTCAGTTGTGCCGGGTTGGAGGGATATGCCTGCAGAAACGGATCGCTTTTGTATTCTGCCCAAAAGTAAACATGCACACGTGTTTGCTGCGAGGCTTCGATCTGGAGCAAGTTCACCCAATGAGCAACTAGGTTCCTTTAGCAGCGCATTTCTTTCAGTCATACCTCCCGATATGCTTTTAGTTCTTTCATTTTGAATTAATTCCGAAAATGAAGTTCAAACCTCTGCTATCCTTTATCAAGTCTAAATAGGCTTGTGTGGAATGGTTAATTTGCCTGTTTTATGGTTTGATAAATCCCACGCTTTTGGTTGCAGTTGATGCTTATTTAGACAATGCATTTACTGATTGTGAAGTGATTACTGAATAGAAATTGACGCATTCATGTAAGATAGTTAAATTTTCTGCGTTCTTTGAGTATCTTCTTGTGTTGTTGAGGAAAATTGTCCCTTTTTTTATGCAGGTTGATTTCCTAAAAGACATGTTTAAGTGCTGTTTCCCTCAAATACTTCTGAATTTTAGCCTCTCAGTAACCATTCTTCATCTCCGGTTAAAATTTTGTCGGTGACAAGCCCTCTCAAATACTTTGGTTTGCTTGAGAAACTTCCTTCTGATATTTTATAAAAATGATTTATGTGGGAATCGTAGGTATATACACTTGAGATCTGTATATCAGTGGCTGTTGATTTGTTAATTTGCTGCACTTCTGAAGTCTGCTGATTTCTCATTAAGGCTTCTCGGAGCACTTTAAATGCATAAAATGGGGAGTTATGTTTCAGCATGTTTGGGTAAAGTCCTTTCAGAGTAATAAAAATCTTAAAGTTTTCTACATGTTGATATCTTTAACATCCCTTTAATCATGCATTAGAACTCTTGCAGTTAAGTCTAAAACTAATTTTGGTACACTTTCTTGAAATAAACATACACTGTTTAAGTAGCGTTGAAGGTTAATTTTTATGTAGGGTGTTTGGTTATGTAGACATCATTCAAATTTTATGTAATTAAGTGGCCATGATGGTAACTACTCTTTAATGTTTGCCATTTGTTTCAGCTAAACCATAGAAAGGTGTTACTTGTGTGTGTTTGGGGAAAAAAAAATGTAACATCAAAACTGATATAATGGTATTTGGGTGTTTTGATAATTGATTACAGTAAAACATGATATGGATAGAGAGACATCCCAATAAAGTGGCCTTTACTGAAGGGTGGAAAGATGGCAATTAAGAGTAACATTTTAAAGAAATAAAACTATTACTCTGGCGCCCCCAAGTGTGTTTCCAGTGTTTCTGTGAATAATTTATTTTTGGACAGTGGGTTAAAGGATGTAAGCTTTTTTGAGTTGAATTTGAATGAAAATGTTCCCAAAAGATGGTTTTGTCCCAATTTATCCATGGTTACACCCTAATGCACATTTGTCTTGCTGCTAAATATTGAGATCCTTGGCAATGTCTGATCTCTGGACATGTGCGTGAAGGGTATCTGAAATAAAATTTGATAACAGCTTGTAATTTTATTCTCTCGTGGGATGTAGGTGTCACTGCCAAGGCCAGCATTTGTTGCCCATCCAAATGAATGCCTTGTGAGGCAATTTCAGAGGGCAGTTAAGAGCCAACCACAATGCTGTGGATCTGGAGCCGCATAAAGGCCAGAATGGGTAAGGGTGACGGATTTCCTTCCATAAAGCACATTCGTAAAAATCCAGCTGGTTCGCTACAATCAGTGTTAGTTGTCGTGGTCACTGTTACTGAGGCTCGCTTTATACTCCAGATTTATTGATTTGAATTTAAATTCTGCCAGCGGCTGCCGTGGGTTTTGAACTTGTCTCCGAAAACATTAGTCTGGACCTATGGCTTACTGATCTGGTGACATTTTCAGTACACCTCCATCTCTGCAAATGTTGCAGTTTGCTTACTTTGTGATTTTTTTTTTCTTTGCTTATTAGTTTGCTTGCATTCGCAAATGATTTTTAATGATGGATTTAATAGGTGTGTTTAAGGTTCAACTTCCAAAAATTCAGAAAATTTACAATGCAAGGCTTCACTTTTGATTCTTCAACCATTTGAGGGGTAAACAATTTTGAATGGGCGAGTTTCACAGTCGACCTTCTTGTTATTTATATTTTCATCTTTCTTCATGTTCCCCATCACGGCGGTGGGGGGAGCCTTAAAAGATGGCATGACTAAGCGTGGCGAGAGTTTATGCAGCTTGTTTCAGCTTTGGCGATAGGCTTCAGCTCCAAAGACAAAGTTAAGGTTTCTGAATTGAGCACCATGAGATGGGTGGAAGGACAGCCTGATGTGATGCTACGTTTCTGTGTACATAATCCTTTGTTTTATGTGTGCTAATATGAGTACAAAATGAGTTTTTGCTTAAAATAAGACAAA